TCTAATCAACAATTACATGGTTACGATTCTTATTTTGTTGATGTTGGTTTTTGGATTTAAAAACTTCTGCAATTTTCACTAGCTCCTCATCTCTTTTTCTTTTTCTTTTTACAGGTTCTGTCCCATCACACAACTGCGATTTTGAATTTTCTCACATTACATAATAATTCCATTCTATTGCTTTACATAACACAAAAACAGATTTCTCAACAAAAATTAGTTCACAGAAAAAACAGTTCAACGATGTGTAGCTTCAGCTACATTTGAATGGCGACCTTTTGGATTCGGATTATACTTGCATATAACTGACAAATCAGTAGTTTTTCCATTCATACTATTATAGACTCACTTTTTTAAATGAAAGATTGCACTGTTGCCATGTGGTTCAGAAGGGACTTAAACAGGTGCAGAAAAAATTCTGAAAGCAGGTGCAATTGGCAGATCGTAAATGTTAGATTCATTTTGTAATGTTTTAATTTGCAAAGATACATTTTGAGAAACTGTAACCTTAATTTTAAATATGAAATTAAATTAATCATTATATTCTTCTATATAGGTTAATATGAACTAGAGGTGCAGGCAAATCATCCCAATGATTGTCATAACTTTACTGTAATGTGCCATTATAACTAATAATACATTTGGTAAGTTTACAGCAATCATTGAGACAATTTGCTTGCACCTCTAGTATGAACAAGTTGGGTTTTATTACATTTAACTCATCTTCGAATGCAAAACAACCAATTATCATAGTGATAGTTTTTTCAGTCAATTCTTCAATAAGCGATGATTCTCCTGTATAAAATGTTTTAAACTTATATTCAGCAAATTCATTAGTTGCTGTTCAGTAGACCGCAGACCCGGTACAATATTTTTCTGAACTTGCGACAAAAACGCTTTTTATAAAGTAAATAGTGCAGAAGATAGAGGCTATTTGTTTCATGTAAATTGTTGTAAATTTTTAAGAAAATTTACATTTTTAAATCTTTTTATAAAATGTAATTTTTATTTACAA